GGCTTGACGAGAACCGTGAAACACCAGTTTGTTGGACCTAAGCGCTTAGGTGGTTCTGTGGATAGAGAGTTGGGTCTGAAGTCAAGAAGACGTGTGTTCACATATGGATACTTATGGCATCCATATTTAGTTCAGACATTTGTTAGCTGTCTGACCTTGGGCAAGTCACTTTATCTCTGTCTGCCTCAGTTTCCTCAACTTTAAAATAGGATAATAATCGCTCCTACCTCCCAGGGTTGTTGTGAGGATCAAATAATATTTGTAAGATACTTAGCATAGTGCCTGGCACATAGTCAGCGCTTACTCCATTCCTCTTCCAACCCTTGCCTTCTTCTGGCAAAGCCACCATCTGGGCTATACCCTGTCCCTAGCCAAAATGACAAAATTCTTATTAGGAATCTAAGAAATAAATGAGCTAGCAATAGTTGTAGGTCATTCCTTCATGAAATCATTCTGATCAACTTGACTTGGAGGATGGTGAAGCAAGTGGCATTACATAGTTGGGTAACTACTACAAGTTAAGACACATCAGAAAACCAGCAGTGTGAATGAATACCCCCACCTGCTGGAAATGCTGCCACCCCAAAACCAGTGGGTGTGAAGTGGACTGAAGACAGGATTCCTTTCATTACGCACCAGTATAATGTCATAAGTAGATGATACAGGTATTAGTCTCCCCATTTTACAAGCAAGGAAACTGAGGCTCAGAGTGGCTTCCACAGGGGTCACATGGCTTGTAAGTGCTTGAATCTTCCTGCTTCCAAGTCCAGTCCTTTATCTGTCCCACCAGACTGCCTCTCCTCAAGTCACTGGTTTGCCTTTAATGAGAGACAGAGCAGACGCACTGCCATATGTCAGTGAGCTGTGTCTATTTTTAAAGACAACTTTTCGTAGTTTTAGTTGTCTTAAAGCTATAATGAGAATTTATTCATATGTGACAATTCAGATTTTATCCCCAACTTCGGAGTAGAGACCAAAAAACTCCCTTATGTTCAAATGCTTGTCTAGATAACCAGAAAAGATGCATTTTCCCCCAATGGATTTCACATGGAAGTCCCTACAACCAGCAAAAGAAACAGGAAAAGTGAATTTATTGCATTATAGCACTTGTGGTGGGACAAGAAAAAAATATTTTTTAAAAAATCCTTCATCTTTGCAGAAAGGGTCTCTTTTACCACCACACTTTCCTTATTCAAAACAGCACTGGGAATCATAATACAGGCCTCATAGGGGAGTTAGCTTACCCCCTTGTCATGGTTCAATTATATCTGACTCTTTGTGACAATGTAGACCACAGCACACCAATACTGTCCATGGAGTTTTCTTAGCAAAAATACTGGAGTGGTTGGCCTTTTCCTTCTCCAGCCAATTTGACAGATGAGGAAACTGAGGCAAACAGAGGTACATGACTTTCCCAAGGTCACATAGCTAATAAATGTCCGAAGCTGGATTTGAACTCAGGTCTTCCTAACTCCAAGCCTAGTGCTCTATCCACTGCAGCCACTAGCCGTCCTCCAAGTGAGTACTAAACTCTATATTTTCAATGATTCATCACCCCTCTATCCCTCAGCTTTGCCTTTCTCTGTGGGGCAGTGCCTACTTCTCCACCCGGGAGTATGGATATAACAACAACAGTGACAATTTGCATTTATATAGCACTTTAAGATGTGCAAAGTAATTTACAAAGGTTGTCTTCAGTTTATCCTTACAACAACCCAGGGAGGGAGGTGCTGCTATAATCCCCATTTTAAAACAATAATAATAATGATAATGCACATTTATGTAATGTTTTACGGTTTGAAAAACACTTTAAATCTGCTGTTTTATTTAATCTTCACAACAGCTTTGTGAGACAGGTGCTATTTCCCATTTTGTATATTCCCCATTTTACAAATGAGGAAACTGAGGCAGTATAAGTGACTTGCCCAGGGACACACATCTAATAAATGTCTGAATTCAGGTCTTCCGAATTCTAGTTCAGCACTCTATTCACTGACACTTAGTTTCCTCATTTTTTACCTAATCAGAAAATAACTCTTGAGCTCCCACCCATTGGTGAATTTTCTGAGCTTACATTTCAGTGAGCCCTAGTCACATGAGCTTCACATAATGAAGACAAGCCTCCACAATAAGATACTGTCTGCAGTTTACTCAGCAGACCATGAATGTATAATAAGAAAACAATGCATAATAATAATTTTTTTAAAAAATCTACCGAGCAGCTGTAAGCCAAGCTGACTTCTCTCAAAGCCCAGAATTCCACCTCCCCCACACACACATGAGACTGACTCATACCGAGGAGTTCTAGGAATGGTGCAGTTTGAGTCCTTCGTTTAGGAAGGCAGACCAGGCACCATTTCCCATAGGATGCTAGAGTCACCCATCCTGGAAATCTCCATCTGCTCGTCAGATGGAGATGCCAAAACTCTGGGCTCAGGATCATAGCTTAGCCAGGAAACAAGCAGGGAATACATAAGGGTTTGTGATTTCCCCATTCTTGACTATTTGGGACCTCTCACCTTCTGTGGCCTCAGCTTACCCATCTCAGAGTAGGGTTAGTGGGGTTGCCAGCCAGTGGCAGAAAGGTAATGTTCTTCCTGACATGCCTTTCCAACCCTGACTGTGGAGCACCTATCTGTTCCCCAAATGTGCCTTACCATTGGGCAGTTATTGTTTGAGAGCCCACATAGGCACTAGAGAGCAAGAGCTAACCCAAATGACCATCTAACTTTTAGAAGCATTTCTGTTTGGCTGTGGACAGCATCTTGTATTTCTGTCGAATGTGAGGTCTCCTGTTCTCTGGGAGTTAAGCAACCACGGGGTGGGGGGGCCAGCCAAGGCCAGCTGCTCCCTTCTCACCCACCCACAAAGCTGCCTCTGTCTTGGTTCACAACTTCTCTTAGGTAAGGGGGAGGTAATTAAATGTTTCGATTTAAAAAGCCTCCCTCTGGACTACAGAAAAGAGGAGGCAAAAGGAAAATCACCCACATCAGAAAGGACTGATCCCCTGCTGGCTCACCAAATCTGCAGCAGTGCAAGCATCTCTGATCATCTCTGAGTTGGTAGGAATTTAAGACTTTGCATTTAATCTTCTAACTTTAAAAAAAAAAAGCTGGCAGTGAGCAGGAAGACATGGACGGACATGTGGCTGAAAAGGAATTTCTACAAACACCCACAGGAGGACTGAGGACTCAGGCTATCCTTAGGAGTCTTGTCCCCAAGCAGGGCTGCTTCCAGATCCAGAGATGGACGCTCTTATCTTGGGCCCACCCACCTACTCACCCAAGGAATTCAAATTAACAAGTATTTCTTAAGTGATTACTGTATCCAAGGTACCACAAGCAAATACGCCCAAGGAATAGCATCCAACCTCAACTTTTGCAAACTACTTTACATATCAAATGAAGTATTTATAGTGTATATAATACATTTATATATTTTAATATATCTAATTAATATTTAATATTATATTATGTAATATATTATAATATGCTTATTATGCAATATATGATATTCTACATTATATAGAACAATGGCATGTTATATAAAAATTATATTAAATGATAAATTGGTATTTAGAATATCAATATATTATATAAATTATATACAAATTATATTAAATAATAAATTGATGTTTAATACATTAATATATAAAAACATTATATAATTTATAATGTATAATAATATAATAATGTAGTGCTTTACAAATCACTGTATAAATTATTGCATAATGTTATTATTATTTAATATTACTGTTTATTAATTAAATAATGCTAAATACATATTAAATTATTATACATATTATTATTAGGTTATCTCATTTGATCCTCCTGATTCCCTGGGAGGTAGGTGCTATTATGATTCCCATTTTACAGGTGAGTAAACTGAGCAGACCGAGGTTAAGTGATTCGCCCAGGGTTACCTAGCTGGTGTCTGAGACAGTATGTGAATTCAGATCTCTCCTAATCTTCTAGTTGCCTAGGATGGGGAAGTGTCTAGAGAGAGCAATCAGAATGAAGAAGGGCTTCAGATTAGCCCCAGAGAAGGAAAGGGGAGGGAAGGGAGGGAAGAAATGGACCAGGATGGCTATCCTTAAATATTTCACCAAGAGCAATGGGTAGAATCTGCAGGGAGATAAATTTAGGCTTGATAAAAGGAAAAAACTTCCCATCAATTAGAGCCACCCAGGAGGGTCACAGGTGGTGAGCTCCCCATCACTGGAGGTCTTCAAGTACAGACTTCTTGTCAGGCATGTTGTAGAGATGGATTCGTGTTCCGTTATGGGTTGCCTCAGATGGCTTCTGAGCTTTTGTGAATAGTGCCTCGTATATATTTGTACTACTGTCTTTCAGAATATATGTAGGTGCTGTTGTAATTAATGAAATATAAATTCACATAAATGTGTAGCTGAATTCATAGCAGCTTCTTGTCATATTCTCTACCAATGAAGACCAATAGTGTTCTTTTAATGGCAGTTTCTGCTCAAAGATTTGGTCTCAAATTCCTCTTCCTTTGTGTTTGGCCCTGGATTCAAGCCACTCCTGGTTTGTTAGTCCCTCTCCTGAGACTTTCTACTTGTGACACAATACTATATTCACTTCCTATTTGATAAGGGCAATGTATCTGTGATCCTCAAATAACTATATCACAGGCGGGGGAAAGATGCCTCCTGCACGCCTCCCCTCCCGCCAGTTTGCCCCAGTCACAAATGTGGTGAGTACCAGGAACCACTTGGTAATCTGCCACTTAAGTCATGGGCAGAATCTCTAGCTTTCTTCAGAATTCAGCTCTGCTGCTACCTCCTAGAGAAAGCCTTTCCTGATTCCCCCCCCCAGCTGCCTGTGCCTTCCCTCCCCCCAATGATTTCGTCTCTATTTTGTATTTATCTATGTGTTCATGTCATTTCCCCCAGTAGAATGTAAGCTCCCAAGGGCAGATTGTTTCTTTTTAATCTCTTATCCCCAATGTCTGGCACATAGCAGGTATTTAGTAAATATCTGTTGAATATCACAATGCACATTTTTTTATTCTGTATCATTAATCATTTTAGCTACTCACATTCTTCTTAAATAAAGCAATAAGTGGAACAAATAAACCTGAATCCATATTTTCTTCAGTTCCTCACGTGCCGACAATTCAAAACTCAAAAAATCAGGCAGTTTCGTTGCACCATGAAAATAGACAGCCTTGGCTTTTCCCAACAGAATGCATCTAACTTCTAGAAAAAGGTGGGTGGTAGAGAGCTGAGTGTGTGGTTTGTGATTTAATTAAATCTGATGCTGAAGTGTGTTTATGGCTGCCATCTTTTAAAATTATGAGCAAGCTAGTTAAATGTCAGTCGGGCTGCAGGTGTGAGAATGAGAGATAGGCTGGTGTGCTCAAAGACAAAGGACTGGAGTGTGCTGGGAAAACCAGGAGTTGGATTCAGAGGCCCCCTGGTGACCTCGGATAAGATCCATCCCCTCTAAGTGTGTTGGTATCCTGATCAACAAAATAGGAGGGGGGTTGCACCAGATGGCCTCCGAGATTCCATCCGGCTTTAAATCTATGATTCTACAACAAAGTGTTCTTCTTCCGCTTGGTCTCAGCTCATTAGGGAGAGAGGAGCACTTAGCAGTCTCACTCAAATTTCTTTTAATATTCAAAGACACACAGCAGGAGACGATTACTTCTTTCCTATGAATAAATACCAACTCAACAGACAGAATGAACATCGCTAGAAAATAAGGCTCAAAAATTCTCTGCCAGAGGGATGGTTCTCTACAGCTCATCATGTCTGTACGTAAATTCCCTTGCAGATATAAATCCATCTTTGTCCTCGTCTTCTTTGTCAAAGATGTCTTCCACCAAGGCATCGTGGTGACTCTCGTTGATCATTGCCCCATGCTTTTCAAATTCCTTCTTCAAATAGATTTTAACCTGCAAAGGAAACAATCATGCTACTTGAAAAGGTCGGCCCTATGACTTGGGAATTATTAATAATATCATCCAACCTGTATTTCAGGTTATTTTATTTTATTATTGATCATAACAATAGCTAGCATTTCTATAACACATGAAGGTTTGCAAAGAGCTATTGATGTTTAATCTTCATAACAACCCTGGGAGGGAGGTGCTATCCTTATCCGCATTTTATGGTTGAGGAAACTGAGGCAGATGGAGGTTAAGTGACTTGCCCAGGGTCTCACAGCTATTAAGTATTAAAGGTGGCATTTGAACTCAGATCTGTTTGACTTCAAGCTTGGCATCCTATCTACTACTCCACCTACATGCCTATTTTACAAATGGAGAGTTAAAAAACAAATAATCAAAACTAATGATTTTTATAACATTTCCTATTTACTAAAGGGACTCTCCCTCCCTTTTTTTCTTAATAAATTTAGCTGCCTGATTATAACAAGATATATTTCAATGGAGATATGATTTGGTTGATGCAATCTGCATCAGAGGAGGGTGTACCCACCTCAAGGAAGTTGCAGATCTTTGGAACTAACGAAATATGAAATCTTTTTGACAGGAGATGGTCACCTCATTTTCACTATTGTTGTTGAGGGCATGGCAGATGGAAGATTGGGTCTCCTTGTCCCTGCCTAGGCTGGAAGTCCAGTGGCCATTCTCAATCTGATCCCACCACTGCCCAGCCCCACTTCTGACCCGGGCTGGTTCACCTCTCCTTCAGCAGCGTGTGTGCCTCCCGCTCACGAGGAGCCCGTGACATCGGTGCTAGAGTTAGTGCGGACGCCCGATCTGTGTCTGGCCAAGCAATAGCCATCACTTTGCCCTCACCTCTTGTTTAGACAGCTTCCAGTCATCATTAAGATCCATCTCTTGGAATGACTCGTGTGATCTTGGTCCATTTCGAATTTCCAGGAGATCGATGTTGAATATCAGTGTACTCTCAGGGGGAATTTGACCTGCGGGGGGGGGGGGGGGGTGAGGAAAAAAAGCTTTCACTGAAATGTCTTACTTTTAAAAGTAGAAGTTTTATGGATCTGGACAAAATAGGCCCTTAGCTAAACTTGGGGCATAAATGTACTGCGCATAGTGAATGCCCTATGGGTCTGAGGTCATGTCTAGATTCGAGGCTGGGAGCTCCCTTTCCTTCATCAGCAGGTGGTCTGCTCCCTAGAGATCTCGGCTTTCTAATCTAGACACACACACACAGCCCATCATGGAGAGAACTCCAGTACTCTTGCCCAGCTCAGAGCCAAGATGACCAAAATGAATGAAAAGGGAAATCTCATTTGTACAACTGGGCTAAGTTCTCAGGGGAGACTTCCCTGCTACTATTTAATAAACTGCTGGAAGTTGGTTCAACTTAAGCAGAACCATGGACCCAAGGCCCTTTAATGCTATGGTCCCCTAAGCAGCACAGCACAGCAAAGGGAGTCCTAAACTCAGAGTCTGGGTTTGAATTCCACTCCGCTCATCTTGGCTGGTGCCTCTGGGCAAGTCTCTTGGCCCCTCTCAGCCTCAGTTTCTCTTCTGCCATTACTACAGCATCAAGCCCTCTGGATGGTTGTGAGGATCACAATAGGTGACGCAGGGAAATCACTTTTCTTGTTTTAAAAGCGCTATAGAACAACCCATTGAGGAGCAGAGGGATGCTGACCCAGTTTAATTTCCACTTCAGATACACACGGGTTGGGGGACCCCGGGCAAGTCCAACCTTTCAGCGGCCCAGGTTCTAGATTGTGGAGCACGTGCTGATCTGCATTGACAGAAGATTTCCTCACCTGGGAGGCCCCTAGATCAATGGAATTGCCCAGTCCAATTTTTTTTTAAAAAGTATTGTTATTATCATCAGGCTAAGGATACAGCTGGCACAGCTGAGAAGCAGGGAAAGGCCAGCTGTCTTGGGTAAGCACCGGCCCTCGGTTTCCTCATCTGTAAGCTAAGGGGACTGTACTACAGACACCTGAGGCCCCCTCCAGCTCTGTCCTCCTAGGAGTCCATAAAACTGTCACAGTGTGCAGAGAGCCTGCAGGCAGGAGGCCCTGAGCTCAAGTCTGGCTGTGTGACTCTGGGCAAGTCACTTCACCCTGTTGCCTCAGTTTCTTCATCTGTCAAATGAGCTGGAGAAAGAAATGGCAAACCCCTCTGGTATCTTTGCCAAGAAAGAGTTGGACACGACTGACACAATGGAACAAACACAAAGGCAGATATAACTGCTTCAACTTGTGTTCATGAAGAGTAGCAGGGACCCACCCCCACCACCAGGAGCGTTATTTTTTCCCCATTTTCTCTTCCTATATTCCCTGCCTCTTCCCCATGTCTTTTCCCGACTCTGTTCTTTCCTTCCTTTTTTTGGGGGGGGGGGCAATTGGGGTTAAGTGACTTGTCCAGGGTCACAGAGCTAGCAAATGTCAAGTGTTTGGTCTGAGGCCAGATTTGAACTCAGGTCCTCCTGACTTCAGGGCTGGTGCTCTATCCACTGTGCCACCTAGCAGCCCCTTGTTCTTTCCTTCCTATTCTTCCTCTGGGCACCCCCACTGGAGAATGATTCCTGGTTTTAGGGCCAACAGATGAATCCAAGTCATTTATTGATACCTGCTATGCACTAGGCATTGTGTTAAGTGCTGGTGATACAAATAAGAAGAGAAAGACAGTCCCTGCCCTCAAGGAGCTTACAGTCTAATGGTTATAGCCTTAAAGCTATGACCCAATTACCTGTCTATACAGACAGCTCTTTGATCTAAATTGAGGGAGAAGAAAAGATGAGTGTCCAATCCAAAATGGCAGCTTTAAAAATCCCCGGTTTGGCTTTGTAATTTTTTCCCCTTTTTTGTACCCCTGCTTGAATACTGGTGTGTCTGGTGCCCTTAATTTTATTAGAAAAAGTTTGATTAAATTTTTTATAAATTTTATTTTTCAAAGAATAAAGTCTCATCATGCAGACCTGATTTAGAAAGCTCTGGGTCACAGATCTAGAACCGGATGGGAGCTCAGAGTCTGTAGGCCAACCTCCACTTTTCACACACGAGGAAACTGAGGCCAAGAGAGATAAGGTCAGCCAGCCGGCATCAGATGTAGGATTTGAACTGAGGTCCCCTGACTCGTGACTTGGTGCTTTCTCCTTTATGTCATAATCAGGGGTCAATAACATCACATGAAATAGGCCCAGTACCTGGTACAGAGTGAGTACTTCACAAATGATTATCCATTGACTAACTGACTAGCAATCCCATGACACAGTCAACTGTCAGGTGAGGTCAAAGAGGCTGAAACTACTGGACTTCTGTAATGACGATCCGGCATGGCAGAACGTTCCACGGATCGTGAGACACCTCACCCCATTTCTGTTTCATAAGGAGATGTGGGACTAAGGATGCCCTACTATGAGAAAAATGGAAGAAAATGGGGATTTACAAAAAGAAAAAAAAAACAACGCAGATGGGTTCCAGCAACCTCAACATAAGGAGGGTCTGGTGGAGTCTCTCAAATAGAAGCAAGTGGCACACTGACTGGGAGGAGATCCACAAACTATGTAATCTGTGTCTCATCGTGTCTTTAACTATCTCGTTAAACATTTCTCAATTACGTCTTAATTTGGTTCTGGCCTCCGTGGAGAGTTGTGCAGACTGCTTGTGAGTCTGACACTCCTGTGCAGTGGAACCCAAGGACCTGGTTCAAATCTCAGCTCTGCTGCTTGCTGTCCATGAGACCTCAGACAAGTCATTTAACTTCTCTCAGCCTCAGTTTCCTTTTCTAATTGTAACAGAATTATTCCTCCAGCTAGAAGCCATCATAAAAGCCATATAACTTGAGCAACTTCCTGGGAAATGGGGGATGAATCAGTAGTTTAAAAAAAAAGCACTTACAGGGAAAGGAAGATGTGAGCTACAAGAAATTGAAGGTCTCTGCTAGTTGCCTAGAGCCCCCCTCCAAAGCTTCCTGGGAAGGATGAACCCCCTTTCCCAAATATTTCTCTATGTTTAATATGAAATTTGGGGGTAAACATTTCCAACACCTTTTCTGGAGCCCCCCAAAGCTTCCTGGGAAAAACAAACCCCCTCTTTCAATTATTTCCAAATATGTTAAATCCTAAAGTTTGGGGTAAATGTTTCCAAGCATTTTTTCCCTGGCAGATGACCACAAAGGAGAGTTAGAGGGTTCTTAGTTCCAGAAGAACAAGACTTACACTGTCCACTCAAAGCTGTTCCCCATCGGGGTCAGAAGGCAGGAGCCGCTTCTCCACAACCACGTTGATTTCCACAGAAGGCGTGGACCCCAGGCTAAAAAAGCTGGTGTTAGTCCAGTGTTAGGTGTGTTAGTTTCACTGTGGTCAGTTTCAGGGAAGGGAAGCAGAGTTAGGTTTGTTAAATGGTGAACACCCTGTTAAAGGCAGAGGAGAGAGGGAAAGACGGCTTAGGCGGGGAGTCACAGAAGTGTTAAAAACACCCATCATCCCTAAAACCAGTCTGAGCTCCAATGCATACATTTTCTACGTGCCTGATTTTCTTTTCCAGATTTGAATCTAACTATAGAACAAGAATGTCAGAAGAGGCTTAGCTTGGCAACTCCCTTTTCAGGAATACAAATGTGGAATCCTTATAAGGGATGAATGTATCCACACCTGGGAAAGAAGCAGAATGTACTGAAATGGGAAGGTCTCAGCAGTGTCTAGCCAAGAGAAGGAAGGTGGGCATAGCAGGGTAAATGTTTTGCGGAAAAGTGAAAAATTTCGGGGCGTGTATCTGAGTGTGAGAAAACAGTAAGAAAAAAAATGAGAGCAAATAAGCCAACTCATAGTAAGACTGATTAGAAATGAACTGAAGAAATGTTTTACATCATTGCACATGTATAACTTTTATCTGATTGCTTACCTTCTCAGGGAGGGGGGAAGAGGGATAGAATTTGGAACTCAAAACTTTAAATAAAAATGTTTTTAAAATTTTTAAAAGAAAAACAACAACAGAAATGAAGTGAACTTAAAGACAAAGAAATTAGGGGTGAGGTATATGAATGAGACAGAGAAGAGGAACACAAAGGAATGATAAAAACTGTGGTAATAATAATAATGATAATTTTTCTTTTTTTATCTAGCCCTATGATATTATTGGTATGGAGAGGAACCTCTGGTGTGGAGATCTTTCCTCCTAATGCAGGATGCCCAGGATCCAAAGAAGAAGGTGTCAGAAGCAGGACTGCATTTGGAATCAGTTTCCAGACTCATGCTTGAACATTAGTACAGAGAATTAAAGTCCTAAGTCTAAAGTCCTGAGAATTAATTAAAAAGCAAACAATGAAGCCGCACCCAGCAGAACTGAGTCAGAAAGTTCTGTATCATCCTGACCCAGTCTTCACGGAAGAGGGATGGAGAAGGGGGTAGAACAGAGACTTTGTGACTTAACAAGTCACTTACCTGGAGACCTAACCCTCAGATCAGTGTAAGGAAGGTAATATTTCGATCACATTCCTTACCCAGTCACTGTGAGGAATGGTTACCTGGAGAGTTTGACCTGGTCTCCTCCAGACTCTACATGCCACAGAAGCCGAGGGCACTGCGTGACGGAGAGGGAAGGCACTCACAGCCTGTTGGGTTGGGCCCACATTCTTTACTGTCTAACAAAAGGGGGTTAGACAAAATGACCACTAAGGTCCCTTCTTTATTAACCACCTACTATACATCAAATACTATGCTAAATGCCTGCTATGAATGGTCTTCATCAGGGGGTTGGAGTAGATAGCCTGAGGGTCCATCCAGTTCTAATGTTCTATGTAAAATGTCTTGTAAACCCCAAGGCATGAAATAAATATCAGCTATTTTTATGATCTGAAGCTTCAGTGCAGTGGTTAGCAAGCTGGCCTTGGACCCAGGAAGCCTGGGGTTCGAGTACCACTTCTGACATATGTGTGACCCAGGGCAAGTCACTTAACTTCTCCATTACCTTGGACAAGAGTATAATAGGTAGGGGCAGCTAGGTGGTGCAGTGGATAGAGCACCGGCCCTGGATTCAGGAGGACCTGAGTTCAAATTTGACTTTAGACACATAACCCTTCCTAGCTGTGTGACCCTGGGCAAGTCACTTAACCCCACTGCCTAGCCAAAAAAAAAAAAAAAGAGTGTAATAGGTAGAGAAGACGCCAACACTTAGTGGTAGGAGGAGTTTTCTCATCTGGGAGCTCACTATACCAATGAAAGCACAAGCCTAGCCTCTATTATTATTATTAGTATTAGTATTAGTATTATTACTATTAACAATGACAATAATGTTGGTATTGATATAAATATTATTGTTATTAACTGTTATCAAATACAACAATTATATTAATGTTAATGACAATAACATTCATATGAATAACAAGATAATTATGATGATGGGGATGATGATGATGATGATGATGATGGTGGGAAGATTCTAGTCTTCCTCTTCAACCCAAAGCAGAAAGACTTGAGTGCGACAGAGAAGGAAGGAGGAGGCAGAAGAACCAAGTGGCAAGATTACCTTTCCCCTCTTTTCCATACCCAAGGGCAGGGGGGATGGTGAGCTTCCTCTTCTCCCCTACACACATGCCCTTCAGACCTTGGTCCCAACCTTTGAGAACCTCCAGGATGCCAAGCGTAAACCAGATGGGCTGACCGTTGTTATGTTTGTGCCTAAGGAGAAGAAGGTTGGAGCGAGTTACCATTCCAGGGTGCCTCCTGGCTTCACTGAATTGCTTCCCAGCCACCCCGTCTCCTCCTCGGGGTCCATGAGTGCAGCACCTTCCTTTTACCTTGAGTGAAAGCTGCTATCTTTTTTACCCCCTTAAGACAACTTCAGCCCCTCAGGGGATGGCTGCTTTCTCCTCATGAGGCAAGAGGTACAGAATGAAGTCATCTACAGGAAGAACTATAGAAAGAGGCACTTGGGAGCCGTTCTGAGAGGAAAGAGAGATGGGAGGGCCTGTGGAAGAAAAGTGAGAGAAAAAGGGTGGTCAGACATGAGGGACTGACTGCATACACAGGCAGGCAGGGGTGTGTGCCTGCCTCCAAGACTCTGCTATCTGGAAACCAAAAAGCTCGTGCAGAGAGGGGAGGAAGGAGAAAGGTTCTAGGTGTTCCAACCCTAAGTCTTCTGCTATAGCAGAGCTGCCTCTCATGGAGAAAGAGAAAGGAAGAATCCCCAAAAATACCAGTTACCGCCCCCAGAATTCCCCTTAAGCCCTGAGGTCTCAGAACTCTTTAAAATTTTTTAAATTTTTCAATGAACAATCACTTACTTTCTCTACCTCCTAACTGCCTCTAATAGGGACAAAAAAGAAATGAAACCTTTGCAACAAATATACAAAGTCAAGCAAAACAAATCCCCACATGGGTCTAGCATCCTTTTTTTTTTTTTTTTGCTAGAACCATCCCCTCAAAGGTTACCTTCAATCTACTCTGCATTTGTCTTGGACATACCCAGTTATCTCCATGCTTTCACCCCCATCAGAATACAAGCTCTTTGAGATCACCAATTGTTTTTGTCTTTCTTTGTGTTCCTGATGCTTAGAAGAATGCCTGGCACATAGTGGGCACTTAAGAAATGCTGGTTGATTGGCTGATTGATTTCTGCTCCTCAGGTGCCAACAGTTAATAAATGCCTGTTGGCTCACTGGCTGACCCTCATTTCTATATCTCCCCATCACCAGGCTCTGCTTACAGTGGGGTCCTAGATAAATCTTTGTTGAATTAATCAGAACAGAACACATGAGTGGAGCATTCTCACTTATCTTTTAAAAGCAAGGAAATTCCTGTATATTTTGCTCCTGAAGACATAGGAAGGTGATAGGGTCATAGATACAGCCCCCTTTCCTTTACAGAGGAGAAAGCCCAGGCCCAGAGTTTAAGTGACTTGCCTAAAGTCACATTGGTACTAAGTAAAAGAGAGATCTAAGCTCACCTCCTGACTCCAGAGGCAGGACTCCTTCCCAGGCATGGGGAGGAATTTTAACTAGAAATCAGATCCATCAGGGAGGCATCCAAAACTGAAGAGCAGTAGGAGGTCTGATAAAAAGAAATAGGGGGCCAAAAGGCTTGGATTCTATTCCTGGCTTTGCTACCTAAGGGCTGGAACAGATTGGGAAAGTTAACTTCAGTGCGCCCATTTCTCCTTTTCCATGTGAGGGGTTTGGATCATATCCTACAATTCTAGCTCTGAGATAATGCCTTTGGACCATTCTTTTTTATTTATCTGCTGCAGAAAGCAGCAGAGTATTCATAGCCAATTAGCAGAAGTAGCCTGGGTTAGCAGATCTCTCTGCGGGGGAAAGAGGGAGAGAAGAAAGAAGTATCCTGGATTCAAAGTCAAGGGTAGATGAATGATCAGAAACAGTAAGATAAGCAATTACGTACATTCCATACGTGTATTTAAAGGCAATGTGAAAGAGGGCTGGAAGATACTGGGCATCCTACCGTATCAACTAGAAGTCTGAACCCCTCCAGCCTCAGTTTCCCCATCTGCAATATGGAGACAATAACGGCACCTTCCTCTGAGTTGGGGTTGTGAGGATCGAATGGGATTTTTTTAAGTGTTTGACAAAGCCTTCATAAGCGAGTATAAATGTGCGCTATTGTACAACGTAAGGTCCTTGAGGGCAAAGGGCCTGTGTCTTATCTTTTTCCCTGTCTCTGGTGTGCTGTGCAGGCCTCTGAGACAGATCCTTGGGTCCTAGAGGCTCTGCGTCACTCCAAGGCAAGTCCCTCAGGCTCGCGGCATGCTCTAAGAGACTTATCAAGACTCTAACTGGCAGAGAAGGTGCGGACCTTAGAGAAAGGCAGATTCCTCACCCAGGAATTCCCGGTTTATGAAAAGATGCAGCGTGGGAGCTTCCTAAGTGCTTGGGGAGTTTTCCACGCGTGCTTCTTCACCAGTCTCGAGGTCAGGTCCACCCTCCCTCTGGTCCAGGCGGGCGCACTCCCGTTACCTAGCCACCTTCCCTGCCCCATCACTTACGTGGAGTGAAACAGGGACCCGTCCTTCTCCAAGTAGCCTTCGTAATGTAACAGCATCATATCGCCGCCTTTTGTTTTCCGCTGGCAGATGAAAGGCTTCTGGAGGACCTCGATCTTCACCTCGGGCTCCGGGATCAGTGCCCCCCTCCCCAGGGCCAGCAGGGTGACCAGGAGGGCTGGCCACAGGACCAGTCTCATGGTGCCCTGGCCAGCAGCACAGGAGTCGTTCCACAGCGAGCCGCTCAGGGCAAAGCGACCTGACTACATGAAATCAATGCCTACTTTGCAGTTTAAGGCCTGGGGGAGGTTCTGCTCCCGGCCAAGTTCATGGCTCCCGGTCTCAGTAGACGTGGCACACTCTACTCCTCGCGAATAACTCTGCAGACGCACAGCGGCTACCTTAGAGTTAAATTCAAGGAGCGCTTAGGCTGGCTCCTCTTGCTTAGGGCGGCCTCAGGATAGCGGCGGCTCACAGGCTCCTGTTCCCGTCCCTCTCCCGAGCCTTCTACTGCACGGACCAATGAGTACAGCTCATTTAAATAAAACCTGCCTCCTACAGAACGCAGCGTATTCATGGGATGTGTTGCTGGGCAACCCAAACTGGCGCTGGCTTTTTGGAGCATGCTCATTCGTTCAGCCCTAGGAAAGGATGTGAGCAAAGCCTGCAAACCCGGGGATTCCAGGGCTCCGGATTTTCGAGAAATGGACTAGGCTGGGAGAAGGGAAGCGGGAGGGAGGGACCTATCCAAAAGTCTGAGGGATTAGGCAGATTTCTGTCTAAGTGACCAAAATCCTGGAATTGGTGTTGAGGAGGGGAGGGCCGAGGAGCAGGGTCAAAATACTCGGTCTAAAACGTTGGTGGGAAAATTGAGACACTAATGCACTGTTAGTGGAATTGTGAACTGATCCTCCCATTCCAAAGAGAAATTTAGAACTGTGTCCAAAGGGCTATAAAATTATGCATACCCTTTGGTCCAGCAATACCGCTTCTAGGTCTGTACCTCAAAGAGGTCAAAGTAAAGGACCTATATATACAAAAATATTTGTAAGTTGTTTTTTGTTTGGTTTTTTGTGGTGGCAAAGAATTGGAAATTGAGGGAATGCCCATCAGTTAGGGAATGGCTGAACAAGTTGTCGTGTGATTGTGAAGGAGTACTATTGTGCCATAAGAAATGACCAGAAGGATGGTTTCAGAAAAACCTGGGAAGACTTACACAAAATGGTGCAAAGTGAAGTGAGTAGAACCAGAACATTGTACACAGTGACAGCAATACTGTGCCATGATCAACTGTGGCTTAGCTCTTCTTAGCGATATAACAATCCAAGACAATTCTGAAGGATTTATTATGAAAAATGCTATTCAGAGAAAGAACCAATGGAATCTGAATGCAGATCAAAGCATACTTTTTCTTTTTCTTTCTTTTTTTTTTTTACTTTCTTCATTTTTTGGGGTCTGTTTTCCTTCTCAGCATGCAAATATATTTTGCATGAGCGCAAACATATGTTGTTGTTCAGTCATGTCCAACTCTTCTTGACCCCCTTTTTGAAGTTTTCTTGGTAAAGATACAGGAGTGGTTCAAAATTTCCTTCTCCAGTTCATTTGACAGATGAGGAAGCTGAGGCAAACAAGGTGAAGTGACTTGCCCAGGATCACACAGCTAGTAAATGTTTGAGGCCAGATTTAAACTCAGGAAGATGAGTCTTCCCGCTGGAGGCTTATCACTCTATTCACTTCAACACCTAGGAGCCCAAGTATAAACTACATCAAACTGCTTGCCTTCTCAAGAGGGAGGGAGGGGAGAGAGAATTTGGAACCCAAAATTAAAAAAAAAAAAGAATGTTAAAAGTTGATTTTATGTTTATCTAAAACATACTAAAAATTTCCAAAAAATACTCTAAATTTCAGGCAAGCTACTATTTTAAGGTGTGTAATAATGCTGATGGAGAAGCATAATGAAGCATTTATAAAGTGTCTAGTATATGCCCCTTCTAGATCACTGCCTTGTCATGGTGGAGGGGCATTCTTGGCTCAAAGAAACTATGAGCTATGATGCTGTACATTTACCCATAATGGAGAGGTCAGAGAGGAGAGTTCTGACAAAAGGCGATCTGCTGGAGGAGGAAATGGCCAACCACTCCAGTATCTTTGCCAAGAAAACCCCAGGGACAGTATTAAAATGCTAAAAGACATGGTATCAGACTGGTGTGCTATGGTGCACTGGGTCAGGAAAACCCCCAATGAACACCACCACCACCACTATAGCCTAGACACGGTGCTATAGATTCCAAGACAAAAGTGAGGCAAACCCTGCCTTCCACAAGCATCCTTGTCATCATCACAGACTTTATTTGGCCATTTTAAGTTCACAAAGCATTTTACATCCCGACATGGGCTCATTTGAAGCTCACACCAACTCTGAGAGGTAGAGAGCTGCCGGATGCTCTTTCTGTGGTAAGTTTGAGGAAATGGAGACAAGTTCCTAAAGAGAGGAATTTGTCCAAATTCTGATGTACATCAGTAAATGTACTTCATAGAGTCATATGTTTAGAGCTGCGGGGTGGGGAACCATAGGAACTATCAGATCATTTTTATAGATTAAAATAAAAAAAACCCCTGAGGTCCAAAGAGGTTGTGGCTTGCTTAATTTCAGTATGTAACTTTGTGAGCTTTAAAACGCTAAACCAAAGCATTAGATGTGAGCGCACTGTACAGATAACGTATAATATGGGCTTATTACTCAATGGCTTTTCTTTCCTTTCTAGTGTTCTATCTAACCCCACCCCACCCCACCCACCCCCAGCCAACTCTCCTTATCAAAGCGATGACCCGGCATTTAAATGTACAAAGTGTTCTGGATAAATTAATATGATAGTTGCTGCCAAACGGGGCAACCTGAACCTGCTTCTAAGAGAGTATCTTAAAATAAGTATTGCCCTCGCGGTCCGAACTCTCGGGAGCCATGCCATTCTTGGGCAAATCAAGATTTCAGAGCTGGAAAATGCCCTCAAGATTAGCCGGCCCAACCCTGTCATTTTGCGGAGGAAGTCACTGAGGTTGAGGGACTTGTCCAAGGTGGACAAATAGGAAAGGAAAGACATCAAGAGCTCTTTTCAACTCCCTGACCAGACACTGAATTTTCCCTGGGACTCGGTTTTCTTTTTTGCAAATGAGGCAGCTGGACCTGACCGTCTCTCAGCTCGCTCCCAGAACATAACCCTATAAACTTTTGCATTTCCGAATTCTCACTGAATATCTCTGTTGGGCTGGAACTCATTGCCATTGTTTACATAACTGTAGCTGAGAATCGGTGCGGGGGTTTCACGGGCTTCCCGGCCCGTGTTAGTGGGGACCTGGTTGTACTGGGAGCTCTAGGGGCCAGGTGGCAATTTCCAGCTCTGCTTTTGACTGTTAAGGGGCCACGGCCCGGGGCCTCAATGTCCTCATCTGAAAAATGGGGATTAGCCTACGCGGCCCGTCCCAGCTCCACCTCTAGGAGCCCCGGGGCTGAATTCTGAAGACGCTTCCGCCTCCGAGCTCCCGATAATGGGGGTGCAGCCACGTGCGCGGTGCCCGGTCCGCCTCGCAGTTTGGTGGAGTTAGTTTTGCGAACTTTAAAGCGTCTCTAACTGCCGCTTGTTGTCTGCAAGGTCGGCATCCCCCCAGGACTCCCCGCAGACGGCCCGCCCCTGAGAAGACCACGCTCGTGCCCGCTTCTCAGGTGAGGGGCTGGAAGCGCCTGCCTTTTCTTGGGCAGTGCCAGGCGCCTGGCTGGGGTTGGGCAAGGCCGTCCCTCCGCGAGGCCCCTCCTGCCGCGGGCTGCGTGGGGACGAAAACCCGAAGTGGATTCCTCGGCTCCGGGCTGCGGCGCCGGGGCGGGTGGCCGCACTGGGCATGTGCGAGCGTGCTCAGTCCCGGGCCGGCCTCCCGAGGTTGCAGGGAGCCGGCCGGCGGCGGCGGCGGCTGGAGCCGGAGTCGGAGCCGGAGCCTGAGCTGCTGCTGCCGCGGCTGCCGCCAGTGCGGGCGCGGCGGGCGGCGGGGCTCTCTCTGGAACTCGCTGCACTTTTGGAACGTTGATACATTGTGCCGCGCGCCGCGCGCTCTCATTGGCCGCCGGGCCCGGCCACGCGCTGCTCCGATTTGCCCCGCGGCCCGCCGGGCTCGGAGCGTTCCGGAGGGAGCCCGGGCAGCTCCTCAGCTCCGCTTCCGAGGGCGGCCCCGGCCCCGGCCTCAGCGTGCGGGCCGCTGCGGGCGGGCGATGGCCCTGCGGCCTCTCGGGAGTCTTTGTGGCCTGGGGCAGCGGCGGCGGCGGCGGCGGCTGCTGCGGGGAGCCTGAGAGCGGCGGCGGCGTGTGGATGGGCCCCGGGAGTCCCGCACCATGGAGGGGGTGCTCTACAAGTGGACCAACTACCTGAGTGGTGAGCCGGGGGGCCCCCCCCGAGGCAGGGGGTGGGGCGGGGCTTCTCGTGACATTGGCCGAGCCGGGGCTGGTGGGGCGAGCCGAGCCCCCCTTTTACGGGCAGGGAAACTGAGGCCCGGGTTCGAGAAGAGGTGTGCCCCAGGGCAGGGACCTTGGGGGCGGGGTCTCCTGGCCGTCGAGCCTTGGACTTAGATCTGGAAGGGACCCAGGGCTTACACAGCCTTAGGGTCATCGATTCAGGGCCGGAAGGGGCTTTGGGGGGGGGGTCCCCTGGCCCTCGAGCCTTGGTGGGATCTGAGGGGTCATCTGTGTCCAGCTCCTTCCTTTTATGAATGAGGACCTGAGCCCTGGACGGTCAAGTGACTGTGTTCCCTCATTCTATAGGAGAGGCACCCACCCCAGGGAGGTTGGGGTTAGCCCAAGATGACTCAGGTAGGGTGTTTGCCTAGATGAGGAAGTGAGCTGCCCAAGGTCACGCAGGTGGCATGGGAGTGCCCCAAGGCCTCGGACTGCAGCCGGTGCTGCTGTAGTCTTGGCCTCCTTGCTTTGTACAGATGAGGAAACCAAGGCCCAGACCTTGTCTTGCTCAAGGTCACATCGCTAGTGACCCGATGGGACCCTGTCTCTTTCTTCCCTTCCACACTCCCTTTACTGGGTAGTGTTTTCATCTCAGGGCCCTGGATTTAGAGCTGGAAAGGCCTTCAGAGGTGACTTTCTCATGGTCAAACCCATAGTAAGTGGCAGAGTCGGGATTGGAATCCAGGCCCCCAACTGCCAATCCCAATCCCTGCCTCCTGAATGATTGTGGTCATTGGGGGTGGAGGTCACATTTCTTGTGATTCCATCCTGACATCTCCATACCTGCTAGTATCCCAAGGGAGGCCCTAAGTAAACTCCTGGAACAATTCTCGGAAGGCACACTTTCCCAATTTGCTCCATTACCCATACACCGTGTTGTGGTGACCTCGCCAGGAGGTTAGACTCAGTAGCCCTCCAGATAAACTGGACTTTCTCTGGTCTCGATTGCTAGGAAGAAACTCGAATGATTTGGCTGCATGAATGTGAGGACTTGGAGTCTCTCCAGTGTCAGAGGGTGAGAGGCTGCCCAGGGGTCCTGGCCGTGTGCTAGCTTCCCAGGGATGGGATCTCCACATTCCTTCCTAATGAAGGGATCTGGTTCTCCTTGTTTGTTTCCAGGTCACCCTGGGAGGGCCAGCTATCAATTTTGATTTAATTGTTGGCCTGGGTGTGATTCACTGAGCCGGCCCAGTGTCTCCTATCAGCAAGCTTACCCTTTTTCCCCTGTTCACCTTTATTGTGAAATGGGGGACTGGGTCTGTTCTCAGCACACACACACTTTCCAAAATTTGGGTCAAAACTTGTACTTTCTTTTGATATTTCAAAACAGTGCTGTGAAGATCCTAGCTCTAGAGCTGGGAGGGACCTTAGAGGACATCTAGTCCAAGCCCCTTATTTTACAAGTGAGGAAACTGAGGCTTAGATGGGGGAAATGACTTACCCATTGTCATAGAAGAAGTAAGGGACAGAGCCAGATCCTCTATATGCCAATCTAGGGTTCTTTTCACCATGCCACACTTGGAGAGCCATCCCCTCCCCCCTTTTATGGATAAACCCGGAACAAAGGAGGACAAGTGAATCAGCCAAGGTCACATAGCGCTGGGATTTCAACTCAGGGCCTTTGACTCCAGACCCAGGGTCCTTTCCCCTCCCATGGTATTTTAGGGATGTTGGTTTTTATTAGAAAGTTGTTAAGTCCCCACTATTCTTCATGCAGGAGACATTGACTCTTCTTTTTCCAGGACAGTTCGCCAAGCTGTAAAGTTCAGTGAGACATGATTTTGGTAGTGGGTTGTTAAGATAGCCGAGCATCTCTTCTCCCAGGGCCTGTCCGGTAATATTTAGGTAGCTGGGGGAAGACTGTGATGTCCCCCAGGCACACTGAGAAAGTTGGAAACGCTTGGGTCCACCCGGGGATCTGTGTCTTGTTGGTGGTGGCCAAGACGGCTCAAATGAGTGATGGGTTCCCAGCTGACTATAAAGGTTGAAGGATTATCTGGGAGACCTGCTGCTTCCCTTGAGGGGCCCCAGGCACGAATGAGCCCCGGGAGAGCCACAGCCTCTTCCGGGGCAGAATGATGCCTTCTGGGCCTGGAGGCAGGGGCTTGGACAAAGTGAAGTCCTTGTAGCTCCAGAATCTGATTCTTGTGTTGGTGAGGGGGATGGCTGAGCCAGCTATTGGTGACGAGTTAGCTTTCCTATGTATCCCTCCCCTTCTCTCGCTTTCTGTCTTCTCCCTTCTCTCCTCCTTTCTTCTCCCCCCAGCCTTCTCCTTCTTTTCCCTCTCTTCTTCCCTCTTTTCATCTTGTCTCCTTTCCTCTCCCCTCCCCTTCCCTCTTCTCTCCTCCCTTCCTTTCCTCTCCCCCCTTCTCTTTTCCTCTCTTCTCCCCTCCTTTCTCTTTCCTCCTCCCTTCCTCTCTCCTCCCTTCCTTTCCTCTCTCCTCCCTTCTCTTTTCCACTCTTCTCCCCTCCTTTCTCTTTCCTCCTCCCTTCCTCTCTCCTCCCTTCCTTTCCTCTCTCCTCCCTTCTCTTTTCCTCTCTTCTCCCCTCCTTTCTCTTTCCTCCTCCCTTCCTCTCTCCTCCCTTCTCTTTCCCTCTCCTCTCCCTTCTCTTTCCCTCTCTTCTCCCCTCCTTTCTCTTTCCTCCTCCTTTCCTCTCTCCTCCCTTCTCTTTCCCTCTCTCCTCCCTTCTCTTTTCCTCTCTTCTCCCCTCCTTTCTCTTTCCTCCTTCCTTTCCTCTCTCCTCCCTTCCTTTCCTCTCTCTTCCCTTCTCTTTCCCTCTCCTCTCCCTTCTCTTTTCCTCTCTTCTCCCCTCCTTTCTCTTTCCTCCTCCCTTCCTTCCCCCTTCCCCCTTTCCTAGTCTCTCTCTCCCTCTCTCCAACTCCCTTCCTTCTTCATTCTATTTTCCTGAGTGGATTGAGTACTGGCTTTGGAGTCAGGCAGCTCTGTGTTTGAGTCCCACACCCCTCACTTATTAGGTATGTGACCCTGGGCAGGTTACTCAAGCCCTCTGAATCTGTTTCATCAGCTATAAAGCAGGGAAGGTGATGATGTATGTGGTTTGGTACCTGCCTCCCAAAATCATCATGAGAATCAAATGAGATGATGTGTATGTGACAGTGAAAGCAGTGCATATGTGTAAGTGTTGTTACCGTTATCAACATCATCATTGTAATCACAAAATATTAGCCCTGTAGAGTGGAAACTCCCAGAGGGCAGGGACCTTTGGGTTTTGTGCTCTTGACTCCCACGTGCCTACCTAGCATGATACCTGGAGCATAGTGAGATGCTTAAAAACTTTGGATGGACTGAATTTCATTATCCCCGTCCCTCCTTTGCCAGGGCGTTTTGCAGGCCGGCGTCACCCACGGGCCTCACCTAGAGGGCTCTGGACAGAAGAGGCAGCCGCCGCTTGGCCGGGAGCAGATTGGATTGCTTCATTGGGATTTTATATAAGTAACCCATTGAACGGCGAAGCTTGCCAATGATAAGATCCTTATTCAGATTTCTTACTAAAAGGTTTTCTGTCTTTGGGTAAAGGGAGACTGTCCTGATGCTAAAATCCCAAAGCTTTTTCATTTCTACCATCTACAGGTAGATGCAGGTCATAGATTTCGAGCTGGACAAGAACCGCCTTCACCCCTCTCGTTTTACAGATGAGGAAGTTGAGGCCCAAGCAGGATTTGATTCCAGGGCCTCAGACTCCAAAGGCAGTGTGCATTTCCACTCCTCCACATGGCTTCCCTCACCCAGGTCTTTCTGACTCCGAGGCTGATGTCTCTGTTTGTCTTAGGCTCAGCAACTTAAGAGACCTGGGATTGACTCTCCAGCCGTGGTATCATCTGTATTATATGGTATAATATATATGGTATTTAGACATTTCATCCCTGAAAGGAGAATTAGAATAGCTGCTGTAGAAACTGTCACGCGCTTGGTAAATGAGCTTTCTTTCCCTTCCCCTTCCTCTTCCTCCTCCCCTCCCCCTCTCCCTCCCCCTCCTCCCCTTTCTCCTCCTCTTCCCCTCCTCCTCCTCCTCATGTCTGTCTATGGGAATCACGGAGTGCCAAAGCATTTGTCCCTCCAACAACCAGGTTCTCCCCTTGCTGTGTTTCCTGTCCATCCCCTAATGATGTTGTCTGTGTCCTGGCGGCCTGTCTCCAGAAGGCTCTCTGCGGCTGACGTCACATGGCACAGGTTTACTGTTTACAGAAAGAGTAAGCGAAAGAATGCTTAGGAAAGATGAGGGAGGAAAGGCTGCTGAGGGCGGGCCGGCCTGTCTCCTATTCCTGGGCTGTCTGAATTTTCATCAGAATTCATCCTCGCCCAGCTAGCTAGGGAAGCATTTCTTTTTCCCTCCTCAGTATTTAGAACTAGAGTCCAGCTCCTTTCTGTCTCACTGGGGCATCAGCATCAGAGATGTAAAGCTTAGTGACCATCAAGTCCAACCCTCTCATTTTGCAGATGGGGAAACTAAGGCAGGGATGCTCACTGACTTGCCTAGGGCCATATAGATAGTAATTGTTAGAGACAAGATTGGAACTCAGGTCTTCCTAACTCTAGTTCAGAGTGCTGTCCCTGGGGTTTTTTTTTTTAATTAACAAGCATTTCTTTTCCCTCCTTCACACACACACACACACACACACACACACACACACACACACACAAAGTAGCAGCTACCCAAAACAATACCCACATAACAAGTGTGCAGAGCACCTTCTCTCACTGGCCTCGTGCAAACATTCACCTCCCCTTGCGCATTGTACATCCATCCCCTCTCTGCAGGAGGTGAGTAGCTGCTCTGGCGTCAGGCCTCGGGAATCAGTTTGCCACGGCATCGATGGGTTTCTGTGCTGTTCTCACTGTGTAAATTGTTCATCTGGTTCTGCTGACTTGGCGCTGCGTCGTGTCTCGGGGTCGTCCA